TCCCAGCATAAGGGCAAGTGGGTGGCGATTCGAAGATAGCTATAACCAAGCTGGTTCCGAGGAAATTGATGATATGGCTGAGGATGGAATGGTCCCAGATCATCCTCCTTCAGCATAAATGTGCGTTGCCAGGTTTAAATTTAAGTTGCATCAATCTCGTATAAATTCAGTATAGTAGGCACAGCAAGGGTGAACCGGAAGGAGGATGTGTTAAAGGAGACTGGGGTCATCGCGTTGATTTGTTTGCGAACTCAGTTCTCTCCTAACGCTCTTCTCTTTTCGCCTCGGCATAGTAAACTTAGAAGTACTCATAAACTGGGCACGTTGAGCTAAAACCCAATTTAGTAACACGGGAGTACTTACATTACATGCCTGGACTATAACGATAATCAAGGCAAGTAAACCGCTCTTGACGCATCAAACCACACCCACCTCCACCAACGCCTCCTCCTCGTCACACGCCCACCACCCGCAACGTACAGTGAAGGGCGCGGGCTCTGCCACGTATCATTCGAATACAGCCAGCCATCTAGAACACAAAATGCATCTAGAACACAAAATGCATCAGTCCCATCGAATCACATCATTAAAACACGAAAAGAAGAAAGAAAAAGTATGCCTACTTACCCCCATCCGCACCACACCCGGACCAATCACCCGTCGAATCCTCCGTCTCGACGAAAGCCAATCCGTTAGATAGGGAGAAGGTCAGATTGCTGCTGGAGATTGCGCGCGAAACTTGATCAGGTAGAGGGATATGAATGATGAAAACGAGTTGACAGACCTTTCCCATTGCCTTCGACGCCACACCCGTCTCGCCCCCTCATGACATACGTCCACCAGGCTTCAGGTTCTGTTGACCCCATCCTCGTTGGACGGTGATGGTCCTGAGGTTGACGATGATAGAGATGGCGTGTCCTGTGTGGACGAGGAGTCTGAAAGGAGGGAGAGGGGAGGGGGACGATTAGCATCGGAGAGAGGAGGGGTGTAAGGGACTAACCACCTAATCACTCACTCTCCAACAACCCCACTTCCCTCAACTCCGAGTTCGAACGATATCAGTCAGCCGGTCGTCATTCACTAGACGCTGGACCATCATCGAAAATCGCAAAAAAAAAAAGTAGGCCCTTGCAGTCGTTTACGACTTCCTCGGGCTGTTTTCGGCGTTTCGCAGCAGCTGTAATTCGCGCTAGAGAATGGGTGGGAAGGAGATGATTAGGAGGGTGTGTGTGTATGTGGGGTGTGTGTGTTAAATGGGAAGAAGGCGATGGATGAGACGGAGAAGTGCTGGTAACGTGATGGAAATTAGCGGAGTTTGGGAAACGTCAACGAGGCACGCCGTTTTTGGGGTAAGTACATAAATTCAAGGTAAATTACAAAACTTTCGGGTTTTGCATCAAGCTGTAAAAGAAAATCAAACAACTTGGCCTCGTTAGAGGATGTTCGCCTGAAAAAAGCACGGGTCAAATTTCGAAATTCGTGGTGCTGCGTGCATGACCTTGACAAGTAACTAGTAACCTTCAAGGTGATGAATCTACGATGGAGTAAACACAAGCCTCTAAGTATTCCATTCAGTGAGAAATCTCGAGGAGAAAAAACATCCAAAGGCGTGAATATTTGAATATGTGGACAGGTTCGAAACTTTGAACAGCAACAGTGGTCATGCACCGCACGACCCGCATGTCCGGACCCTAGATTATCAAGAAGCAGGATCATATATGAGCTTCGCGGGTGTTCTGTGGTATAGAACAACGTTAGACGAGCTCCCAGCACCATGCGTAGAGGAATAATCACCTCTTCAGAACACCGTTTTCTTGCCAGCACAGCTGCGCCTTGAGCTCCGTGAGGCCGAACAACAGGACAATTTCATAGATTACTTTGTAGTACACCCTACCATCCTTAGTTTGGCGGGGGCCCAGAGAATGGGCGAGCTTCGAGAGGTCAACCTCGATAGTACAGAGAGTGGAATACATCCCTACGAGTGCAAGGTTATATCAAAAGATCGACAGCAAGGGAAAGAGTGACGTACCAGCATCGATATCTCTCCATCGAGGACTAGCTAGTTCTCCACGGTAGCAATCGAGGTTAAATGCTACTTGCGACAACGTCGACAGAGAAACAGTTTGTTGAGAGTACCCCCTGCGGAACTCTTTTGTTTCAGACGTTTGCGTGTTCTGCACATATCGAGTCAGCGAAATCCACGGGGTACGAAGGTCGGACAAACGGCCAACCTTCGGCAAAATAACGTCAAAGGCGCCTGGGATTTGTCGACTTCCATCAAGAGCAGTAAAGGATGTGAATCTCTGGAGGTGCTCGACATCGTTGCCGTCATAAAAGGTGTTGCAGTCGGTGCCGTAAGTGAATCTCGACACGCGACTTCTGACGGAGTGATCAAGGTAGAAAGATAGGGCACCATCCGCAACGGCTTTGTTTCTAGAAGAAGAAAATCAGGAGGACAGCACCTCATTCTCATAAATTGACTTACACATGGCTATCCGGACGGAGGACACTCAGGCCCATTTGAGTGCAAGCTTCCTTCAGCTCGGCAAAGAGCCAATTGCTAGCTGCGAACCCTCCAACAAGAAAGACCGACTGAAGTAACAGTAGAATGAAAACATGCCAATGCAACGTAGTTAAGACCAACATTGATGGGCTTTCGTGCTTTTTGTGATTGTTCTGCGATGGCATCGACGATACAATTGACTGAGGGTTCAAAGAAAGACGCAACGTCCGACCTGAACGGAATTCTTAGACGGATCATAAACAGGCAATGTCCATCTTACCCAGAAAGCTTCAACTGGCCTGAGCGAATTCCGACAGCCAGATCCTTGTCCCGGAGGTTGCCAAATCTGATGTATTGTGGTTCGTGTTTATTCCTGAATAGCAATTTCGTTGTTTTGTCAAAGGAATCAGCCATCTGGGGCACGTCCTCCAGATATTTTGAGTTGCGGAGGTGGGCTACAACAGGCATGAGGTGGATCAGGAATGGTATCGAGAAGCCTCACCGTCCAGATAAGTACGAGCATTGAAGGTGACGAAGATGGATCCCTTGAAGTGACCTACGACAATGAACATAAGGAATAGACGACTTCCAAAGTTTCAAGCTAACTCACACTGGGGTGGAGCAATCTCCTGAAAAGTATCAGCCGATCCTGAAGCACAACCATAAGCACTGAGGTCAATAGTTCCTCCACCCGCATCAACGATCAACACGCCAGAATTATCCTTCAAAACAGAGTCGTCAGGAAACGATCCTAAGAACCCATCGATATCTTACCTTCATCGCGCCTGCCGGCAGCCCACTCTGGATGCAAAAATGGAGACTGGCTTCTCCCTCAGTAACGAATGACACGCGTGCCTGGCCCGCCTCGTCGTTAGGTACTAATCCTGCGAGCACGGTTGCACGGCGCATCTGCTCTTGCTGTGCGCCCTCCCACCCATTCGGATGGGATAATACGAACTCGATGGTGTCCTCTATCGAGCCCCACCAATTATCGCCCACCCCATGCATCTCCTCGATGTACGTGCGGGAGCAGTGGAACAGATAGTGCAGAAAGTCGGCGAACACTTCAACGGCATTTTTGCTTTCAGGCAGAGCAGGGATCGTATCTCTGATCTCTTCCATAGATCCTGGGGTTCGTGGTCGGAGATGAAGCTTAAACCTATTTTGATGTTTTTAGAGACTGGGAAGTCGATGTGGAGGAGTGGATTGGAAAAACCATTGACAACTGAACCACTGCTCTTCTTCTTTTTGTGCGAGAACACTTCCGAGTAAAGTTTCAGCGCCGGCCGCACGAACTACGTCGTACTGATCGTAATAGAGAATGGAGGGTATCTTGCAGTCCCCACCGACACGTTCTTGAGCAGGAAATCTGGGAAGATCGTTCACCTCGGTCTGTAAGGAAAGGCCTGACTGTTACCTAGTAACTCCTCTAATTTCCGGAACCAGACCTGGATCAAGAATGCTAGGAACATATGAAGAATTAATTAAAATTTGACGAAGACTTGAAGGTACATTCCTGTACGAGACCCCGCTGTATGTTGTCCCCACATCGAATGCCAGGACAAGCTTCCTGCGAGGGCCGGTGTATGGAGAACGGGGTTGCATGTTGCTCAAAGGCGAAAGTGTTACAACCCTTCGCCAACCCTCACATTTTATGTTGGACGGGTCGGCTTGAATCGATTACGACATGCAGCTAACACGCTGGAATAAACTTCAATGGGGAACAAATGGGGAATCTGGAACTTGATCTAAACATGGGGAGACAACACCTGTAAAACATGGTATGAAGTGGTGCGAAAGACATGAGGATGAGAAGCCATGACATCAGCTTCGGGCCTTCAGGACGATGGCCCTAGGCTCAGCCCCGCAACACATGTGCCATTGAGGTAGACCGTAGCGCCTCTCATGTTCGGAACATTGTCTGTGTCATTCCAGGGCAAAATAAATGCCCAGAATATAGGTGAGCAGATGGTCAATAGATAGTCGGACAGTGCCTAAACAAAATGAAAACGCACATTTGCATGTGCGATGAACACTCTTCTTATGTAAAAGTTCTTTTTGGGTTCATATCTTTGATAAGCGCGCGCTTGTCCTACGTGGACTCGGCATTTTCCGCCTATGGGAAAGGCTGGGAAAGGCCAGATCCGCCGATCGCGGTGTTGTGATTTCGGAGCACACTTGACACGTCCTGCGCGGAACCTGCGCGTCCTGGATCGGTGAATCTGCTTGAATCTGCCACCTCTTGGCCTCACGGTGTTGTAACTTGTTGACGTTTTTAGTTACTCAACGTTCAAACGTTCACCGTTCATTTACGACCACCCCCTTCAATCTCCTACAATTCGCATACGACCGCTCAGCACCCAGCATAAACCTCCTAAAACACTAGGCAAAAGGAGAAATAAGCTGGATCCTTGCCGGACCAAGACATCTTTAGCATGATAAAATGAAGTCAGCGAGATGTCTCGTTATTGCTGTCCAAAATGATCTGCGCCTCGTATAATGGGCCTGGCCGAAAACTTATTCTCGCATTCGATATAGGGACAACCTTTAGTGGAATATCTTACAGGTATCGTTCAAAATTGACGGTAGATCATCATGTTGCTCATGCTACATGTCTCAGCATTCTCGATCCTGGTCAAGTGCCGGAAATAAAAGGAGTAACTAGGCGAGAGCTGACCGAAAGTTTTGTTAACTTCGGACTTATCCTTCTAGGTTCCCGGCTGACGAACTGGGGAACGGCTCTTCAAAGATTCCTACCGTGATCTACTACGATCGACATGGCAAAGTTCGTGCTGTGGGTGCTGAAGCGTTGCGAGAATCTGTACAAGACATAGCTATGAGCGAGGGATGGGTCAAGGCGGAGTGGTCAGTCTTGCTCTTTTGCTATCATGTCACTAATCTGATGTGTTTTTAGGTTCAAGTTGCATCTTCGCCCCTCCCCCGAAGAATCGATGCACGTGGGGAGCGAATTACCCCCTCTCCCCTTAAACAAGTCTTGCATTGAGGTCTTCGCTGACTTTCTCACATATTTGTTTCAATGTGCCTTGAGATTCATCAAAGACGCACACGCCAACGGAGAGAATCTGTGGTCCTCTGTCCAAAAGGATATCCATTTCGTCCTCTCCCATCCTAACGGCTGGGAAGGTTTTCAACAGTCCCAGATGCGGAAGGCGGCAGTCCTAGCAGGGCTCATCTCGGATACGCCTGATGAACATGCGCGCATTACATTTGTGACGGAGGGCGAAGCAAGTCTGCACTTTGCGATTCAAAATGGCTTGTCCGCCCAAGATATCAAGGCAAGGACGGTGATGCTATGTATGGGTTTACCACTGACTCTTTTGCAGGAAGGAGATGGCGTCATTATAGTAGATGCTGGCGGAGGCACTATCGATGTGAGCACTTACGGTAAGAGCGCCAACAAAGTGGCCTTTGAAGAAATTGCTGCTCCGGAATGTATGTCTTAACTTTTATCTTTTTGCCATTGGCGCTAATGTCTACGTCCTGCCAGGTCATTTCCATGGTTCCATATTTGTTACTGTTCATGCGCGGCTCTTTTTGAGTGGTAAGACACAATTGACTCCATAATTCCGGTTGCTTGAGCTGACTTCCTAACATAGAACACTTGGCAGAATCACCTTTCATCGACGATCTCGACGACATTGTCCGCTGCTTTGACTCCACCACGAAATTGCGATTCCGAAGTGAGTATGAACCGGAATACATTAAATTCGGATCAACGAAGGAGAACGACCCCGATCTCGGAATCCGGTTTGGCCAACTGAAATTGGCGGGGTTTGTGACATTCCAATCTCTCGAGTACTTGATTAAACAAGACGACCTCGTAGATCTGACATTTGTACATTCTTTCAGCCCTCAGTCGAGTGTATTGTCAACGCCATCTTAGAACAGCGGAAGTCGGCTAAGGGAAGAATCTCGGTGTGTCAATGTTCTACGCTTCGCGAAGTCAATGCCTGATCTGCCATCAATGTACAGCACGTCGCCCTTGTGGGAGGTTTTGCGGCTAGCAACTGGCTATCAAGCGAGGTTCAAAGATCACTCGAGCCCTTTCATCTCAACATCTTCCGGCCCGACACTAGGGTGTACGTCTATGTCATCGACCACGATAATTCCTTTTCTTATCTCACCAACAGTAACAAGGCAGTTTCGGATGGTGCAGTGTCCTTCCACCTCAACAGCATTGTTCGAAGCCGTATTTCGAAAGTAGCTTATGGTATCCACTGCGATCCATACTATGACGGTACAAACACAGAACACCTGAAACGCTCGTCATCTTCGTACCAAGGACATTCGGGCGCGTACCAGATTCCTAAAGGCTTCAGCAACATCTTGCCTGCCGTCCGTGTACCCACCTCACCCCTAACGCTACCCATTGCTCAATAACCCGATCCCAGCAGAAAACCGCAGTATCAGACAAGACGGAAATCCGGCGCGGCTATATACGCGATTCGCAGACAAAATATACGGAGCTCCATGAAGGCATTTTGTGTTACCGAGGCGAACTTCCTCAACCTGAGTGGTTAGATGTGGACGCTGGTTAGTTGCCCTTTTTCTTGGCCTGTCCGCCCACCTCAAGCTACCACAACAGATATGTACAAACCCGTGTGCGATATCACGGCAGACATTTCACGTATGAAGCAATCTCCACTACCTAGAATCGATGGGACAGGCGGAAAGTATTATAGTGTGAACTATGATGTTATTCTGTTGTTCGGATTGACCGAGTTGCAGGCACAGGTGGCTTGGGAAGAAGATGTACGTCTTCCTTATAACTCACTATTTGTGATATTCACTGATGATATGTTTATATAGGGTGTTGAGAAACGGTACGCTCGCTCCTTAGATATCATTTCGAGAACATCTGGGTTCTGATACGGATAACAGGACTCCCGCAAAGATAATTTACATGCCGTCTTGATCCACAATACTACGAATGATAGTGATAATTCTGCGGCGCAGTTTCAATGTGGCGTTGGGAAACATCTGTGAGCCTCCAAGCAGATTTGTAGTGTTGAAGTGTACAATACAAGTAAGTATGCAGCAACGATGCAATATACAACCTCAACTTTTAGGGCGCACACTACTGCGCAAATTGCCATATCTGATCCAAAACCGCCCTCGGGCGTCAACCTACAAAAGTCCATCAACCAAAACTGAAACGTAGTCAACCTCGATACGCCCCCACCACCGCCCGCCAGCCATGTTGTATCACTGTTCACCGATAACAGGAGGTCGGGTCCCGGGAATCGAGTCAACTAGCCCAAGGAGGTCGACACGTTTATGGCATCACCGCAGGTTACCAAGAAAAGCCAGCTGCGCTCCAAGATCGAATCATGAACGACTTTGCGGGCAGGATAAGAGTCATCCTTCAAGCTGCCCAACGGTTGAATAGGTCAATCGGAGAGGGCGTTACGTCGTGTGACCGAGTCGAAGCCCTGTACATGTGTCGTACGACCCAACCACGATGGAGGACGCGTTTGAGACAACGCCCGGGGACAAGGCGACAACGCCGGAAAAGGTGCTTTGCACGGCTGATTTGGGTCTTCTTCGCGCGGAAAAAGTGTCTGGAGCGGTGGGTGCCGGTGAGTGGCAGGAGATGGTCCACCACATTACAAATCAATATGCCACGCGATTTATGTCATTCTCCTGAACGTAATCGTTGTCATTGTCTAAGTCGGTTCCTGGTGGTATCAAGAACGTCTCCAGTCGCTCAGGCGATCCCCGAGCAAGACGTGGAGGTGAATAGCTAGCGCTGTAACGATTGAAGGGTTATCCTCGAAGGACTCCACAAGATACTTACTCCGCGTTAAGGGGCAGTGTTTCGACCAACCTGAGCGTCGCTTCTGTCATCGACGCATATCACAAAATTATTGGATGTTGAGAAGAGAGCTGCACATGAACTCCATTATCTGGGTTTTTCTGTTATCCGATGGACCGAGTCGTGCGCGGGTGATGGCGCGCCATCTCTCAGCGGCTTTTGGTTCTTCTATATCACTTCTGTCAGTCATTGGAGCTGACAATGAGGGCAGGATGCTTACCGATTCCTTGTATCCTCGAATACAGCGTCTCCAAGAAGGTGTCATATTCCCAATGACACGGATACCACGACGTGACGATGCGGTTGCAGAAGTCACCTGGAAAGCGATCTAAAGCGGCCACGGGTCGAACTCCTGTCCATCCCTGTGCGACACCGATTCAAGCACCGTTACCATTTCATCTCCAAGATACTCCTTTACTCGGGAGAGCCTTCTGTTTCAAAGTTGGGTCCCCCGAACCGGGGCAGACCTATCACCCAAGTTCTGTCGGATAAACCAAGCAGCTGCATGGATATCTCCGAATCGAGCCAAGCGACGATGCAGACGCGTCGTCTGTAATGACACTCATGTGTTTTAGCTGGGTGGTGGAGTTTGCAACGTAGGAGTATCGCTGTCTATCGTCAGCTCGACGACTCTGCAGCTCGTCCAGGTGCGATTGGAGTTGGTCCTTCAACATCCGATTTTGTTGTCGACCCCAATTTATCGTGCAGTCGTCGCATTTGGTTAGTCAGCTCTGCTGTCTTCTCCGCCCCGCCATTTCACGCCTCTACAAGACTCCTACTTGTGCGTAGGAGATCTTCGCATAGCTGTGCCAATTGTTCCTTCATATCTGCAGAGTCCCACTCGAGGTCACTCACTCTCGTGTACTTAACCTCCAACTCCTCATCCCCAGTATCGATCTCACCCTCTCCTGTATCTCTGTCGTTAGACCAGCTTTCTCCTCCTCCAGAGCGGCTCTTGCCTGTTTCTCAGCTTCCACCTTGTCCCTCAATTGGTCCTTCTGCGCTTGCAGCTCAGCTGCGAGGTCCTCCTTGCTTTCATGGACTAGCCGAAGCTCCCCGTTCTGCTTCGCCTTCTCCTGAGTAAGAATCATGGCATGCCTTCAGAGAACGTAGCTCAGCCATCAACGTCGCCTTATCCTCCTCAAGAACAGGAACTCGCTCCCTGGCTTCCTTCAGCTCATGAAGCAGTCGATCAGCCTCCTTTAGTAATGAAGTATTTCCTTCGCTCAACTCTGCATTGCCCTTTAGCAGGTGTTGAATTCGTTCTTCACTCTCGGCATGCTCTGTCCATTCCTGGTTTTGACGTTGACGGCCTGGAGAACTTGATAGGGGTGTGATGGTGGTGCTGTTGTCGGTGGTGGTGGTGATCTGCTGTAAGAAGGCGGAGAAGCCCAGCTCCTTTGTTTTGACGCTTGCTGTCTCAACAGGTGGCTCAGACGAATAGTTGTGTGTGTGGTTTGCTGTGGGAGGATAGGGAAGCTCAGCCCCTCCATTCTGACCCTTGCTGTTCTGGAAGGCTCGACGGACTTCGGTCCCGATTCAAAGGCCACAACAGAGGTCGACCCAGATGGGATGGTGGTGGTGGTTTGCTGTGGGACAATGGAGAATCCCAGCTCATCCGTTCCGACGCTAGCTGTCCTAGAAGGCTTGACGGAAGTTGGCTGTGAGGACGACGGACGTCAATTCAGAAAACGTGGTTGGGAAGGAGTGCCTTCCCCTTCCTTCGACTTCTCCTCCAAAGCGCGCAGGATTTTGGAGCTTTGTTGCTTCGCCTTCTTGTCCTCCTTGGATACGCTCGCGATACGTCGAGAACTATCGATGAAATTCGTTTGCTGGCTGCTCGCTGAGCCTTGCTCAGCATGCCTAGCATTGAGAATGGGGATGCCATAACGATGATGAATGGCTAACGAGTCTGCCTGCTTCGGCACTGCTTTTTGTAATTTGGTTCTTCATCCGTTCTTCATCCGCAGCCACAAGGACTTTACTACAGCAGTGACAACCGCAAACACCTTCGGATCCTTTGCTACGGTCGATTTTACATGATCTTTGTCCATATTTTGGAAAACAAGCGTCTTTTGTTGCAGGCGAAGTCCATTAGGCCGGGATCAGGCCTGCTAGATTTTAGAAATATCAAAAGCGTGCCTGGCGTATGATTATTATTTGAATAAAACGCGTCAAAGTGAAGCAAAGAACTCACGTTAGATTCATACGTCTGCGGATTCCGTCTAAGTGGTCTTAGGGATTGGAATTTGGGATGAAGACAGAGACTGGTGTCCGTGAACTTTTGGCAGGAAGAAAGATACGTTGGTCTGGACTTCCGTTCCCCATGGAGCCAGAGACTGAGAGCCAGAGTATCCTTGTGTTGGAATCCCCTGTTATCCAGTGACGGATTTTTTGCAGAATTCTTTCACGTGTGGATGGGTGACACCGAGGTGGCGGATGGGCCATGGCGCTCGTTTAATGAAGGGGATCCTCA